ACTAACTTACTAAAAACACCTCCTGTACTTTCATAATGATATCTAATTAAAGCTTCTGCTTAACAACCAACTATGTGTCTAAAAAAAGACAAACTTCCTGGTCAAAAGCAGTGAAAGAAAGGTCTCTCTTTACCACAGTCCTCCATGGCAGCTCCCTCTTCTCCTTGTCGTACCAGCTGAGGAGCTGAGAGCGCAGCAGCACCACATCAGCAGCATCATGAAAGGTGTGGTATGTAGACGGAGAGGAAGCACTGCTGGTGTCCTCTGGAAGACCAAAAACATCAGTCTCATTCAAACTGAACAGAAAGGACTTTTCCCACTGATCTTCAAGCAATCAATATATGCCGAGGGGGAGAACATTAGCAGAACAGATACAGAGGGGAGGTTCCTAGAGCTTCCAGAGCTCCATTTTATATAAGTTGGCAGAGACATTCAGAGTTTATTCCTGGAAAAAGTGCAAAAACATGAACCCGTAGGATAAAGTCTGGTTCTATACATGCACCTTAAGCTTGCTGTGGTAGTTTTTAAGGCTGTAAAATTCACTACTTAGTTGAATGAAACCTGTCCTAACACCGTTTCTACAAAAAATACAGACATTTACACATTACAACTATTTATTGAGTGGCTGTTTGCATGACAACAGTGTTGCTTTTATTGTTCTTACATGTACGCTACGGGGCTGGTTCATATTTACCGCTATATTCATACAGTAATAACGCAGTTAGGTTAGGTAACATCACCGTGGTAATACCTTCCTTCACGGCTCTATGTGGCCTCCTCCGCTTCGTTGGTGCCGTCTCTACCACCTCCAGTCCGACTCTCTTGCCTTTGTGCGTCGCTGAACGTAACCGGCTCATGACCAAATGAAACATGTAACGTTACCGACTTATTTCATCTCTCCGCACACAGCACGAGCGCTGCTGTTTACTTCACGGGCTCAATTGGTTCTCCCGCCACGTTCAGTCCGGACTGCGGCTGCTCGTCCAATCAGCTGCAAGGAAACAGCGGACGTACGTGTAACGTCATCTCCGGTGGGAGGGTCAACGATAACATGACGTAAAGGCGGCCTGTGCAGTTGTATTGATTATTATTGACTGTCATTGCCCCACATTAGAGGATGCATTCATTATATTAGTGCCAGTGATGGAAAAAGGATTCAGATTATTATTATTATTATTACACTGTACAAATACTCTAGTTCTGTACTGAAATAAGTAAAAACACTTAAAGTATTTAATGCAGAAAACTATATTATTAAATTATTGATTAAATCTTATATCACTGGATTATTATTATTCATTAATTAATAAAGCAGGATTTTTAGTGTTGCAGTTGTTTGAGGGGGAGCGGATTTTTAACTGTTTTGCAACTAATGATTATTTTCATTACAGATTAACATAATCAAGTGATTGTTTGTTTTTTTTAGTTCTGAAAATAGTGAGAAATACCATCACAATTACCCAGAGCTCAAAATGACACCTTCACAATGTTTATTTTGTTAAACCAACAGTCTAAACCTCAAAATTATCAAATTATTTAAAATAATAATGACTTAAATATCTATCAAAATAGTTGCCAGTAAATTCTATGCCAATCAACAAATGTTTTAATTGATTCAGTTCTATAAACTGTTGCATAGTCTCATCTATAAGAAAGCATCATGTAATAATGCAAACCTATAACTAGTAATTAAAGCTATGGAATAAATGTTGTGGAGTAGAAGTAGAAAGTGGCAAATTTGTACTTGAGTACAGTACAATGTGTATTTAAAATAACCGAAATGTAAAGTAGTAAAGTAAAATGCTGAACAATCATATATCTATGACATTTCCAAATCACATGTTGTGTTCAGCAAACTAATAACTCCATAAAACTGTATTAGATAATAACATAGTGCAAGTCCAAATTAATCACTTTTTAAAAATAATATGAGGATGAAACTTTTAATAACATACAAACAGTATTTATAAAAAAACAAACATACATTTTCTTCATCTGTATCTTTAAATGATTTGTTCCTATTGTCCATCTTCAGAGTTTATCGCCAAACAAAACTGAAATGCAAAGACAAAGAACAAAACAATTATTCTTACATAGTACAGGCAACTGAGGACAAAAAGACAGACTTTTGACCGGTCTTAAGATGAAAGAATCATTACCTTCAGTTATATTCACCCTGTTAGTTAAAAGGGTTTCTGCTTGTGCTTCATCCATGTTCATGTACAGAGTGTCAGCTTTGTGCTGTAGAAAGAGGATCATAAAACCTGTTAGTGCTGCCTTCTAGCAGCTTCCACATCCACCTTTTAACCAACGCTATCATGATATATGTCATTAAAACTTACCATTAAGGCTGCAAACAGTGTACTGCCAGTGACTCTCTGCACATGTCCCTTAATAACTGGGTATGAGCGGACAAAGTGCTGGGCAGAGAACAAACATTTAATGTTAGTGTGTGTGTATGCGTCTGTTCAGTATGTCTGAGAGCTGTGAGCTGTATTTAACTGTGCAATAAATCTATCTATGTCTATCTTATATCTATAAACTGGCCATTTTATTGAAAGTATGCATCATTACTTAATCTCACAACCCCTCTGTGACTATTTAATTGTAAATACACACAGCTTGTGTAGAAGACATCATGTAATGCAGTGGACTGTCTCTGGAGAGTGAATATGCATGTGTGTGTGTGTGTGTGTGAGTGAATCGAATTGTGTTCATTGAATCATATGAAAGCATGTATGTACCTCTAAGGCCAGACTGGCTTGTATTTGGGCATCAGTGTGCTCTCTGTTTCCCATAGCGCACAGAAGATGTTGGACCACTCCAAGAGAGAGAAGCTCCCGAGAAACCTCTCGACTGTCCTCGGCCAGCAAGCTTCAACACCACAAACACTATAACCTTACTGTAGGACAACAGCTAAAACTATCACACTGAGATAAGTCATCAAAACAATAATAGTAATATGAATAACATATATTACCACATCATATTTCTGACAATGTATTTGTGTAATTGGGCATTTATTACATTATGTTTAGTTAAAATAATTTAGTTATTTGTACTCATACCGTATAGTTTTAGCTGCAGCAGCCTGTTGCACAAACACAGGCAGAGATCCAGTCATCTTGATTATCTCAGACTCAGATTCTGTGTATCAATAAAATATGTTAATTTACCAAATTAGGTCACATTATGTCAAAAAATTACAAAATGCTAACACATTAATTTATTGGTTTGGGTAAATTGAAAGTTATGTATCTTGACATTGCAGACATATTATCATAGGAACTATGTACTTCCTGTCTCTGATCAGTCTAAAAGAGTTGCTGCACTATATCAGTCTTTAGAAACAATTGTACTACTACACTTAAAAAACAACACACGTATCGAGCATAATAGGTGTTACCTTCCATATTCTGCTGTATTTCTTCTTTAGCAGGTCTCAGCAGAGCCACCAGTCCACTGAGCAGCATTGGCCTCACATCATAACACTTCAGGTCCAAGATCAAATTTATAGCTGTCAGAGTTTAAGAGAGATAATTTATTACAGGATAGAACATTTTAAGCAACAGCCGCATTGGCTTGTGGATTCATTTGCCACTTCAAAGCAAGTTTCAGCTTATAAAACGAACAAAAACGAGCAAAAACCACCATGTGGTTTTCAATCATACCTTCATCCTGAACCTCCAGGTGCAGGGACCTGAGTATATTCAGCAGAGGCTCTACAATGCTGGGATGGGCTGTTTTCATTTTGGACTGTGGGAGAGGGGATTTGGAGAACTATTGTATTTCCTTTCATATGGTAAATATATACAAATTTTTCCAGGCTATCCATTAAAATCTAAATCTGTTCTTCAGTACCCTGGTTAAAGGTCCAGTGTGTAGAATTTAGTGACATCAAGTTGCAGATTGCAACCATTTGAATACAGCTCAGCCTCCAAGCGTGTAGGAGAAAAACAAGGTGGCGAAAAATGTGAAAGGCCCTGTTTGGTTTGTCCATTCTGGGCTGCTGTAGAAACATGGCGATTGAATATGAGGTACTCCGTAGAAGACGACCCGCTCCCTGGTAGATAAAAGCGGCTCACTCTTAAGTAATCACAACATGAAAGCATGCCTATCAATACAATATTTTTTTCAATAGATCTTACTAAATGTTACACACTGGACCTTTAACTAAAGGTAAAAAAAATATTTTAAAAAGATATGGTCCATTGTGTAAAAGAGAGAGAGTGAGGGCACATGAATGCTCTGAGAATGGTAAAAGTACATACGTGCATTAACAAATGGCTCAGTGTGCACTCTCTTGTTTACCTGCACAGTGTGTAAGGTGTGCAGGACCAGCTGCTGGGCCTTCGGGGAGGAACAAGTCACGAGGGCAATCAGACCTTTGTAGATTTGGTTTTGATATCTGGGGTTTCCACGGGACAGGGACTCCAGGAGGGCCCATGCTGTCTCTTGGGTTTCATCTGTGTTTGACTTAGCCAGGCACTCTGCGATGGCTTCCACACCTGCAAGAAGGTAAAAAACAATAGAGTGAAAAAAGATGATACGGCTCCTAAAGTGCTGCACAACTTATCCACACGGGAAAGCAGCTTATTTGTACAGTACAATGTGTATTTAAAATAACCGAAATGTAAAGTAGTAAAGTAAAATGCTGAACAATCATATCTCTATGTTGTGTTCAGCAAACTAATAACTCTATAAAACTGTATTAGATAATAACATAGTGCAAAAATAATATAAGGATGAAACTTTTAATGACATACAAACAGTATTTATACAAAAACTATTGTAAAAAACTATTTGTATGGTATGAAACTGTATTAATATACAGCTACTGGGTGTCTTTATAGAAGTTACCATGGCTTTCACAGATAATCTCTTTGTACTTGCGACCAGCATTTGAGACTGTGAGCAGAAGACGAAGGGCCTCGGCCTTGTCCTCCTCTTTGCTCTGAGAGTGGCTCAAGATCTCCAGGAGAGTGAGAACACCTCCATCCTCCAGGAACTCCATTAAGTACTGATCACTGAGGAATGTAAGAAAAGTGACATCTGACAAAAGTCTGCACAATGCAGACACAGAATCGGACACAGTAAAGTTTACAGATCAGGATGCAGTAGTTCATCACACTCACTGGCTTGACGCAGAAAGGAAAATCCCAACTGCTTTAAGCTGCAGTCCCAAGAACGTCCCAAACATGTATCTGAGTATTCAGTGAAGGACTGCGTCTCAGGTGATCACAAAGTCAGTCCAGAACAGGAACCAGGAGTAGGACTACTCCCTTTAGGACTCGAAACTTTTAACTTATTTATGTATGATCTCATGTCAGCCAAGATACAGTTAAATGTGTGCATGTACGCAGTAAAAGATATGATTATATTTGGTCTTGCATTAATCCAGCTCCCCATCCTCTTAAGTCATTGTCCTGTATAGATCCCCCTCCTCATCACAGACTTCATATTGCACATTAACTACAGCTACAAACTAAATAATTAACTATAATTAGTTCATTAGTACAACTTAAGTTGTATAAAATGTGTAGATAATATTGAAAGTACTAAATCAAGATGAAACTGAAGATATATCGGAAAACCATGTACAATGTTGTTTTGTATATGCTTTTCTACAGGTGTGCCCACATTTAACAGGGCTATAAAATTGATATTAGAGTGTGGTTACTTTGGTTTTGACATTGATTTAGAAAAATGTTCAATAAATACACCACTGTCCACCCTGCTTCAGTGACATTGAGTCAGATTAAAGAAAGGATACGTGAGTCTCATCCAGGTGGTGAGTCGAGCCAGGAAGAGACTGGCAACCTGTGCAAACTCCAGCTCCAGCTCATAAAACGTCTTCCCAGTGTTTTGAGTCAGGAAGGTGTTCAACATGCGGCTGCGGACTGTCCTGTCGCCACGGTCCCATTCTCGAAGAAAACTGAGTACTTTGCCGATATTTGCTTCTTCTTCCCGTGCTGACATCGTGTTCTTCTTTTCACATTGGTGAACTTAAGTGAAAGTCTTTTTCGCTCCAAGAACTAGCTGCTATTGCAACTTGTTCGTTGGAACCTTAAAATGAATGTGTTTGGCTTCATAAACACTTACTTTTCGCGGGTTTGATTTGTTGTTTATCTTCTTCCTCCGCTTCGTTTGTAGCTGCTGGCTAACGGTTGCCTAGCAACGCCCCTACAATCTTTTTACAGTCTCTGAGTTTGTAGCCAAATTGATCAGGACTGATATCGATCATTCATTTATATATATAGTTTTATATAAACTTAAGAAGGAGCTGTCCCACTCTGATCATTTGTTCTGTAAGAGTTACACAAAAAATACACAGAAATACTTACTCTCTCTCATATCAATACAGAATATTTATATATTTTCTGTGGAGGAAAGGTGGTATGTATGTCTATATATATATATGTCATATGACAGTTGGATAAACTGTCAATGGTCTGAACCAAGATCAACTTTATCCCCCCAACATTGTTTAAGCAGCGTATCCTTACTTACCTTTCACAATAAAAGCATAGACATATACACTGCATAAAGTCCCCTTCCAACCCCCAAAAATGTGTTTCTTGTTCCTACAGTTGAATGTTAGAGCTTCACTGTGGTCAAACCTCGTCCAATAATTCACTTCTACATGTGTGATGTGGAAACTAGAAGCCACCAGAGGTTGAACGAGAATTTGCCACTTTAAAGGAGCCATGTAAGATTCTGAAACATTTTATGTATTAATCACTTTTTATTGCCAATAAGTGAATGGGTTGTAACATAACTTAAAAAAAGAGACCTTCCCCAACTTTTCCAGACTGTGTGCTTTTTCTCTCCGCTACACTGTAGCAACACCTAATAGTTATAAATGGAGTCTGCTTAACATTATTGCTAGCAAAATACTACCTGAGTGAATATGTTATTTGGATAACCTTAGCTTACAAAATTACTTCCCCAGCTAACGTGATCCATTATACTATCTTATGTATTATGACAAATGTTGTTAATTTTTCACAACAATAAATAATGTAACAAGGATAAGGAACAATGCAAACGATTGCTTGCCAAGAGTGATGCAAGGCAGAGACATGGTGACTAAAGTTCACTTAACGGCCACTGGTGCCACTATTAACAATGGTTTTCAAGTTACATATAGAACTTTTAGGATTTGAATGTGGTAGTTACACTTTTTTTTATTCAATGTGGCATCATATTTCAACTATCTTTCTGGGAGACACCCATTTAATGGGTGTGGTGATTCCTGGAAATAGAAACCGTTCTTCAGTTCACCTTATTTTGAGTTCTGGTAAGTTCATTCCTATTTTTATTCAGAAAAATGTATGTGGTATTTATAACAACCTTAAGGTGTCGAGCGAAGGGAGTGAAAAACGTGAAACTGATTTGTATATTGGGTTATATGTAAGACAACAAACAGAATATCTTTGTGTCTCTTGAAAAAGAACCAGTGTTATATGTTGCTCTCATGGTGATCTTACATCTGGCTTCATGAAACTTCTTTTGATACTAAAATGAGCCTTAAAATCAAAGTAATAGGAAACCAAGAAACTCTATTTCAGAGGGAGATATTTCACTTTTTACTTCACTACAATTATCTGCCAGCTTTAGTTACTAATCATTGCTTTGATATATGATGCTTTATTGTAGATGATACTAACCAACAGTATCCACAAGTACAACTGAAACAATGAAGCTGATTGATATTTAAGTAAGTTTTCATGCAAAAGCAGCTTTCAGTTTTTCTTTTTATTCATTTTAATTTATTTCAATCATTTTGTGGTTTGTACTTTTGGTTGGACCAAACAAACATTGTGTAGGTGTCACTTTCAGAATTTTTAAAAAGCAAAAAAAATATAAAAAAATCAATTGATTGATTGAATTTGATTCAAATATAAAACAATCAGAAGATTAATCTATAATAAAAGTAATAGTTAGTCTTATAGGAAATAGTTCAAAATAAGCTCCATCTCAACCAACAACATAACATTTCTGCTTGTACATTAACCCACAAGTAATAATGATCTAATGATATTGTAATGTAATCTAATATATAGAAATATACACTCAGGGGCGATATTTTTAATATTATCTGCATTATACTTTCATACTCTTACATTAGTAATATTTTCAATGAAGGACTCTACTTGTAACAGACAGTGTGGTATTAGTACTTTTACTTAATTAAAGGATTTGAATATTTTCTCCACCACTGCAACCAGACATAGCAGAGCTACATTTGTCCAGGCAAGAACAGAAAAAGACTCAAGTAAAGGTACTTAGTTACATTCCACCATTGCCTGGTGGCAGATGTAAGTGGTCACTATTTGACAAATGTCCTGAACTTGTTTTCTTTTTTTCTTCAGTGTACTGCAATCAAAATGAAGGAAAACACTTTATTATTATGCATACTTTTCCTGAACGTCTGCTTGTCTGCTGGTGAGTAATGTGTCCCTAATTATCAGCCTGCTTCACACAAAAAAACGTTAAATTACACCAATTCTTAAAAAGCCTGGCCTCGAACCTGAACCAACAACTACAGACCCATCTCCAATTCCTCCAAATATGCAATCTCTGTGTTATCTTTGATCAAACCATCTTCTTTGAACCACATGTTAATCACATTACAAAAACTGCCTCCTTCCATCTTAAAACATCAGATCTGCTGATGCTCCCTCAGTCACATCTTTCAAAACTGCACTCAAAACCCATCTATTTAGATCTGCTGGATCTTCTTTTTTTTTAGGTGAGGAAGATTTTATTAGGCTGACTGGTGGTCAAGACCACTCTGAGGGCCGTGTGGAGATCTTTTATGATGGAGCTTGGGGGACCGTGTGCGATGATGCCTGGGACATAAATGATGCTCATGTAGTGTGCCGCCAGCTCGGTTTCCCTGGTGCAACAGAAGCTCTGGCATCATCTACATTTGGCAACGGTACAGTCATATGTGTGCCAAACACTAATGATGAAAACCTGTAATTCTGAACAATATTTGGTACAAATGGCTGTATTATCACTATCTGTTTTTGTTCTGTGATTGATGTTGTGTTAGGGGATGGTAACATCTGGATGGACGATTTAGGCTGCATTGGAACAGAGCTTAACCTGCTCTACTGTCCATTTCCTGGTTGGGGGATCCATAACTGTGGTCACACTGAGGATGCTGGTGTTAGATGCGGTAAGGCAACTAATGTTTAGGAAAGAAGTATGCATCTTCCATCACAATGAAATCACTCACTGTGCCCATATTGATCCCTATCAGAGCCTACTATCAGGGATCTGAGCCACGAGTATGATTTGGACCACAATGCAAGCCTCTCTCATCAGCTGGGGGAGCTGTTTGACAGTGGACATGACTGTGACTTGAACATTGCAGTGGTGGTGGACAATGACACCATTGAGACAATCTGTGCTCACAGGGTCATCCTTTCTCTGAATCCAAACCTCAAATCTTCACAGCCAGACTTCAGCAGTCTTAGCATTGATGTCAGCTCTGACTGCAGTCAATACGCCAACAACTTCGTCAGGTAAAAGCAAACCTGTGACTGGCACTATTTGTCACATGGTTTGTCATGTAAACTTGTATGACTCATAGCTGATTTTTATCCTCACTTTCTGTCTTCTGACTAATCTTTACATTTCAGATATTTCTACACAAGGAAGATTAAAGTCACACTATCCTCCGCCCATTGCATTCTCAAGATGGCATCCAACTGGGGTCTGACAGAGCTTCAGAACAAGGCTACAGATATTTTCAGGCTGTTTCTTCCAGAGGATCCCACTTTCCAGAGTCAGAACTCTTTATATGAGTATGCAGTTTTTACAGGGGATGAGGCACTGCAGGAAGTTTACTTTCGCTACCTAGCGTGGAACTGTGAGGTGCTGATCCGGTCTCCAGCCTGGGAAACTCTTCCTTTTGGTCTTGTCGAAGCTCTTCTCTCTCGCTCAGACCTTGTGGTAAGTAATGAAACGGTCATCCTGAGTGGACTGGGAAGCTGGGCAGCAGCCCAAGGAAACACAACTATTCCTGAGGTGCTTCTGAAGCTCATCCGTTTCCCAATGATACCAGCTGAGGACTTATACACACTTGACCGCTCACAGTACCATGCCGGAAAGTTGCAGGGCTTTCAGTTCAATGCACTGCCCTTCACAACGTTGGTCAATGACCTGACAGAAGAACAAAATGTCTACACACCTAGGATTTACACTGGCAGGCCATGGACCTTTACCTTCAGCTACCACATTATCAAAGCTCACAAGGATTTTAAGTTCTACACCTTTGATGGCCAGCGCATCAATAATCTGACATCAGATTTTCAAACACCTATTCATAACAGTGCCTATTTTACTTTTCACAATGTTTTCTGGAGAACAAGGTTATTTGTCAATGATGAAAATTGCTCAAGTGAAAATGTGGCATGCCCTTCTTTGCCAGCTGTTAGTTTGAAGATTGAGGTAAAGAACAAGAATTTACCCAGTGAGACTGTGGAACGTATTCGTTACAGCAATCGGCTTGTTATTAAGTGTAAAGGGAAGTACGTTGTCCACGTTGCTGAATTTAATGCTGTTGATGGTGAGAATCTTCTTTTTGTCCCAAGCACCACAGCACATCCGTGTCACTCAAACCAGTTCTCCCACCACGTGGTGGTACGTCCTCAGTACTCAACAAATTAGTTTGTATCGGCATATTATCTTTTATAGTAATGTAGTAAACATGACCAGGCTTGCTCTGTATGCGATCCTGGCTACAGTTTCACAAGTGATATGGGAAATGTGGTTCAGCTGTTCAGAGCTGATAATTGTGTTTGTGATGGCTGCCTTGGTTTCATTTCTCTTTGCTTTGGCAATGTATGTAGTAAAAAGCCCTTTATTGTGTTACAGCAACACTATTTGTAGTAAAAGAAAAAAAAATTTATGGTTAGAGTCTCAAAAGAGCATTTGTTCTAATAAACAACGGGACAAGTCTGTCCATGTTTAACACGCCTATTTCTACCAACTGGTTACATCATAGGTTTGGCATCCATAAAGAAGAGGTGGAGGGGGATAAAGAAGCCACTGTATGCATATAAAACATTTTTAATAAAAGTTAAGGTTCTCTAAATGTATAATGTTGACAGTCATTTTTCTTGCCATTTCTGTAAAGACGTTTTATAAAGGACTTTAAAAAATAAGATTGTGTCATAAACATACATTCAGATGTAGCAGTATGATTGTTACAGTTATTATAAGTCCAAATAATGTAAATTCTTGATTCAGCAATACTGTAATAAATTGTGGGTTTAAGACAAGTACTTATACAAGAATGTGTCAGTAGAAATACTGGATGTGTGTCTATGTATTCTCAATTATACTGCTGAATTGTGTTACAGTACATCTGAACCTGAGCAGGTTGGTAGATATACCTGACCTCTGCTGGGCCTCCTTGGACAACGTCTCCATCTCCTGGCAGCACAGTCCTGCTGTTTAAAGTACTGGCCACCTCTATTAACCTTTAATATGCACTTAAAGAGATCAGACACATCCACTGTATACCTGCCTGCCTGTAATCTGAATCTGACGATGAACTTGTGTCACGTTCAATTTAAATTTCCCCTAAATTCACTTGAGATTTGAACTGAAAATTGAAAACTGATAGAGCGCAAAGTCAACATGTGCAACAGGATGTCACTGTCAATAATATCCTATCCTGAAAGTAAAAGTATTAGAAGTAAAAGGTTATTCAGTTAAACATCACTGCAACCACAGTTTTGCCCCCGGGTCCAATAACAGGTAAATCCAGCCAAGCTGTTGTTAATCTGTAAATATGGATCATATTTAAAAGGATTATTGTGGTAAAATGAACAAGTAGACTAACTGTAGGCATCTCTGTGAAATTACTGGTGAACATGGGTGGGGGATTGACCCCCCTGGTGCCCCATGTTTAAAAAAAACCCACCTCTATGGAAGATAAAACATGATTAAGTTCCCTCTAATGTCAACTGCACTTTCCTCTAACATGCAAATAAGTATAAAGTATCATGAAATGTAAACTGAAGAAGTGCAACAACACTGTACAGCATTTCATTGCTTTCCCACTGCTGTTGAACTGTAGGTTTGCTTTAGCCTACAGAGGTTTTTGTTTGCTGTTGAGTGAACACAGGCCTACCACCACATGGGGGTGAGAGGAAGTGAACCCAGTTGAGACACTGCTGGAGGTTTGCTGCCCTCCGCAGGCTGCTTCCCGGTAAATGTGCTTCGTTTCGGAGATAAAGAAGGAACATCTCGGTGTAGAAAGACAAAACCAGAGTAAAATAGTAAAGTACGGGGGGGCATGGTCGTACTATAACACCACACAAATCACCGGTCTTGCCTACTGTGTAGTGTTTAAGAAATACAAAGAGCCCGTGATGTTCAGGATGTACTTTTAATCTGCCTAAATGCCAAATAGCGGTTGGCTGACGCGCACGGGGCGACACATCTTTCCGGTGTAAACGAAGATTTATCACTACATTTCAAACATTTTTAGTAACATTTCAAACATTCCCTACAACCCCAATCGATTAATACACCGTATTAATGCTTGTGTGGTTTAATGGCTGTGTGAATAATGGCAGAGAGACCGGCATGGCACGCCAGACGAACCCCGCTCAGGAGAAACACGGCAGGGAGAGTGACAAGGACGGGGAGAGGGAGAAAGAAAGGGGAGGGGAACTGACATTAAAGCAACACAACAAGGAAACTAGACTGCAGAGCCACAGACGCCTTCATTTTATGTTTTTGAATAATAGCCGGAGCTAGTGTGGCGAAGTGTATCTGTGAAATCTGCCCGGAGCTCAACCCCACACAGCGTCAAGTGCCCCGGAAAGGAGCAGCTTTTGGAAGCGAGTTGGATTTAAAGGCGCTCTCCGACGCTTTCAGACATATGGGTGAGAATAAAGAAAGAGGGGTTTAATTGTAATTCTGTGGGAAATTAACAGAAGGGGGGACAGGCCTCTTCTTGCGGAGAGAGCCATGCCCTAATGGGAGGTGGAAACAAAGGCCAACCGCATATAGCTTAACTGTAATTAAGGAAATGCCAATTTAGATTATCTTTTGGATATTTTGGCCCCTTGAGAGTCCTTTCACCGTGGTAGGACTGCTATCATTTTAGCACGCTGCAGTTATGAATGATGTTGGCTGCCATTACAGTGGGGCTTTCATTATAAAGTCATTGTAATTAAAATAATGGGGCATTTGCATTGGCTTTGTCCCTGGAATACAGATGTTTATCTGGCATCCAGGTGTTTTGACTCATTTTCAAGAAGTAATATATAAGAGCATGAAGTAAATGCATCGTAACATGCCACGGTTATGGATTTTCAGCATTAACATTACACCCACATATCACACCAGCAGACAGGAGGACCTGGAGACCTATGATGTGTGTGTGTGTGTGTGCGTCCTCAGGGTCAGAGCCACCCAGCTCTCCACAGGTGGTGGAGGATGGAGGAGAGGAAGATGAGGAGGAGCTGAGTGGAGGGGAGGAGGCAGACCTGAGGTCCAGCTCCGGCCGGGGGTCCCTGCTGACCCGGAGAGGCATCACCCTGAGAGTGCTGCTCAAGGATGGCCTGGTGGAGCCGGGGGACGGCGTGCTAGGCATCCATTACCTGGTAATAACACACATTACAAACTGGGTACAGTAAGAATGTTGTTATTTATTATTTATGTTAGAGTAGTATCGCGTGAGGTTGCACTTGTTATTCAGGCTAACGTGGTATGATACACTGGCAATGAAATGCACTATGCGGTGGCTGCAGGGTTTAAAAACGTCCCTCTTCTCTGCTCCCCTCAGGGTAAGAACTTTGTAGGAGACCTGTTGAATGATGGGAAAATCCGATGGGTGGAGACGGGCCAGATCTTCAACTCCCCCAGTGCCTGGGCGACACACTGCAAACGTCTGGTCAACCCAGCCAAGAAGTCTGGCTGCGGCTGGGCATCTGTACGCTACCGGGGACAGAAGCTGGTCCAGTACAAAACCACCTGGCTGCACAAGTACCAACCCAGCGCAGACATGGTGAGAGGAGAACACTGGAGTCTGTAACCTAATGTTTTAATTATTTATTTTCATATATTTGAGGAAACACACAACCCTAAGCAGTGATGAATATAATATGTGTCCTGGTCAAACATCATGACCCAAAATGTGACTTAAACAATGAATAGACCAAAAGGTTTCTCCAAACAGCTTATTTTTATACAGTTCAGTGCCAATGAAAAGTTGTTTCAGGTTTCATACAGTTGGACAGTGAGTTCAGTACTGAGACTCGACTTTTGGTTTTTGCCCTCGCATGACTCCTAACATGGAAAAAGAAGAAGGGAAAAGCAGAAAAGAAACAAGATACGGGCTGATAAGTAAAACGCAAAAGAACAGTGTCAAATAAAAGTCCTGGCCTCAGTGTGGACATGAGCTGTGAGCAGGTGTGCCTCTCAGACTGTCTCTTGGTGTCCTTGGTGAAAGTATCTAATGTTTTCACAAGAATTTCTTTTTCTTTTACTTTTTTGTATCTCTTTGAGATAATAAATTGCTGTTTTTGTTTTAAAACAAGAACAAAGAGGGTTCTGCTAGAATAAAGAATAAAAAAAGTTGGACTTTATTTAAGAAAATATTTGAAACAGATTTGTTATTTGGGAAACATGATATATTCTGAAAATATTCTCACTGCAATAAGGACTTCAGTTACCAACAACAGTGTTAAGAAGCAATGATCACTGCTGTAGGGTAAATCTTATCTAATGTGTAATACTGCTTATATCACTGCATCTACATTATCCTATCCCATATATTGTGCTTATTTCTTGCGATGCCAGAGCCTGGTGAGTGAGGAGGATGATGATGAGGACGAAGAGGAAGGGAAGGCAGCTGTGCAGGCAGATGAGAAGAACAAAAACAACAAACCTGGATTACATGGTATGATTCTCCTCTCGATTAAAATATACACGTTTCCTAATCATGTGCTTTCAACAAACTAGAAAACCAAAGTCAACTCTTACAGACGTGATGGTTTCCCGGAGAACCGACAGAGAGAGAATTCCCGTCAGATATTGCACGCTGGGCACCAGGGATGCTACCAGGTACTGACTTTTAATTCAGAAAGATGGATGTAGTTTTATGCGACCGGTGGAGTGAATTAGAGTGTGATAGACATTACCTTGTGTCCCTCAGAGATCCACACACACTAGTGGAGCTGTCAGCCTTCTCAGCCATCAACAGGTTCCAGCCTTTCAATGTAGCTGTGTCCAGTAATGTACTGCTGCTAATGGTGAGTAACAACCACAACTGAAACAGGGTAATTTAATACTGATGAACAGTTAAGAGGCGAAGCTGGGTTTTTTTTATATCCTCATCAGGACTTCCACTGTCACCTGACCACAAGTGAGGTGGTGGGATACCTCGGAGGACGATGGGATACTAATACACAATGTGAGTGTCCAGAAATTTAAAAAAAATGCAAGACATATACTTAGTAAGGTAAAAATTCTGTGTTTAGCCTCAGCACCTTCCTCTCTGTGATCGATGTGTTTCAGTGCTGACAGTCTTAAGGGCTTTCCCCTGTCGGACCAGGTTGGCAGACAGAGACTCTGCTTCTGCTGTTGAGGAGGAGGTAACACATGGACAGTGAATCAGTAGTCTGCACTAACTGCATGTATGCCTTCAGAAAACGCGAAGGTGAATGACACCCGTTTTAAAAATTCACAAGTTCTTTCCATGCCCCAGGACAGTTCTGCAGCCAGCACTTGTCAGCATGCATCTCTGTTTTCCAAAAGCCAGAAACCAAAGAACCGAGTCTTGAATTTCCATCACTGGGATGTTAACACTGACTGCTGTGTGAGAAAATGTGTTAACCCCACATATTTTTGCATTGTGGTGCTTAAATTAAGTTTAAATACTACATCATTTATAACTTCTCATACCAAGTATAAGTATAAACTCCAGCAAAATCAAAAATTCAAGTTTTTTTTTTTAAAGTTCCAGTTTCAACAGAGATCTTTTAAGATCACAAGAACTGACAGAACTGTCCTGGGATCAACCTCAAAGGACCAGTGTGTAGGATTTAGTGGCGTCCAGCGGTGAAGTTGCAGATTGCAACCGTTGGAATACAACTCAGCCTTCTAAGTGTGTAAAAGAAACTACAGTGGCCCTATATAGAGCCAGTGTTTGGTTTGTCTGTTCAGGGCTACTGTAGAAAAATGGCGACTCAACATAATGGCCTGCATAGAACAGGACCTGCTCCCTCTGTAGATAAAAACTCATTCTAAGGTAACAAAAATAACCTTTTATTTACAGGTCATTATGCGTATTCCATTCCTGCCAGTAGATCCTCCTCAATGTTACACACTTGCCCTTTTTTTCAGATCTTAAAACAGTGTCCTTCCCTTTAGGTTCTCTTCACTAATATAAGCACATTTATAGCAACAATTTAGGCACTGAATGTGGACCAGTTAACAGAATAGGAGATTCAAAAATGTGAAACTTTGCAGTTAGGACCTGCAGTTAAAAGGATTTTACATTTTCTTTCCAAATTAGTAAAATGTTGCTCCAGTAATTAGAATTATCCTTTCAGTTAGTGCTGAGCTTCTTCTGTGAAGTGTCCATAATAATTACAGTGGCAGTAAAAATTAGTATTTACCTCCACTAAAGTGGAACAACATTAAAGCAAAGTTTTTTTTTCCGCATCTGTCATGTTGACTCTGCTCCAGATCTGTCAGAACCTGTTCATGCGCGGGCTGTCGTTGGTGGGCTGGTACCACAGTCACCCGCGAGGTCCGGCTCTGCCGTCGCTGCAGGACATCGACTCCCAGATGGACCATCAGCTGAGGCTGCAGGGTTCAAACAACGGCTTCCAGCCCTGTCTGGGCATCATCTGTGGTAAGTGCCTGCCTTTATATACAGTGTGGGACTTTGAATACTTCTTCCACAGGACACTTTATTGATCCCATTCCAGGAAATTATACAATATTACTAAATATAATACAAAATACATTACAGAGCAGGAGATAGAGGATATCTACAATATGAGTATAGTAGTTTATTTAGCAGCTTATGCATTTGGTAACATAATACAAATATTGCTTGAATGAGGGTTAATATGTCCTTAGGGTGAATAGTAGCAGTTCACTGATATAATGGAAACGTTAATAAATGTTTAACAGCTGGATACCCTCATAAAGATACCCTCTGCAGTTGTTGTGGACCGCTCTAAAGAGCTTCACTTCAGCATGGACAAAAGACCTGAAGTATATTTTACAGCTGTCAGTTTACAGTTAGCCACTGTGTTGTAGCACTTCACAGCTGGTACCATGGGTAATGTCAGGAGGATTCTGGAGTCATTTTCTTCTTTTTTTCATTTATACTGTAGTGTTGTTTTGCAAGAAATACGA